AAACAAACACCCTATGAGTGTATATATGTCAGGTTATATCTTGCCTAATTAAGAGAGAGTCCATGACAGCACCAAGGAACGAAAGCACTCGTCAAAATTTAAATTTTTGATTTTTTATGTGCATTCGAAAGGACAATGTCTAAAACTAATAACCCTAAATTTTTAGCTCATTTGGACTTTTTATAGTGAAGTTAGCCCGAATCAACTTTTAGCACTGTCTACAGAGTATCACGAAAAACAATGGTAAATCATCTCATTAATGTCTGATAATATTACACTACTAGGAAGGAGAGAATTTTTTCATCTTATATAGCAAATGATAGAGTATGGACAGATGGAAAAAATGAGCTATATGAAATATTGTATATCATTCCTTTACTGGGCTAACATGAATGAAAAAAGGTAAGAGATTACCAGCGTATGACGTTAGACTTTTGGAGGTATATCTGCTGCCATTTATCGAAAACATTAGGGCCCAGACTGAATTTTTTATATGTTGTGTAACTTTTGATTCTCTACAAAATGGTAAAAAAAAATTAGGAAAAAAAATGGTACGCTGGATACAAAAAGTGGCATATACTGTCAAAAGCTAGATAAACAGTATCGAGGAAAACGACCTTGAGCGTTTTCCAAGGACGTTCACTTATGTAAATTTTCATTTCCCACGAATTACAATTCTACCCTGGATCGAATGGCATAGACCATTTCTTCGAAAAAAGAAAAACATTTTCGACCCTCCAAGACCCCTGAGGGGGAGTACGGGAATTTCGAAAAAAACTTTTTTCTTGTAATCGAAATATGATCAATCAGGAAGATAGGGATAAGAATGCTGATCACAAATATATGCTGTAAGTCCATAATTATCTATGATTTAGTGGTATAGGATCGACATTCGGAGTCGTTTTCTTCCAACAAAACTTCGCATGTTCCAATAGAAAAGTGGTCCTTATACTACTAAATCACAGCTAATAATAAATTTCCAGCATATATTTGTGATCAGCATTCTTATCCCTATCTTCCTGATTGATCATATTTCGATTACAAGAAAAAAGTTTTTTTCGAAATTCCCGTACTCCCCCTCAGGGGTCTTGGAGGGTCGAAAATGTTTTTCTTTTTTCGAAGAAATGGTCTATGCCATTCGATCCAGGGTAGAATTGTAATTCGTGGGAAATGAAAATTTACATAAGTGAACGTCCTTGGAAAACGCTCAAGGTCGTTTTCCTCGATACTGTTTATCTAGCTTTTGACAGTATATGCCACTTTTTGTATCCAGCGTACCATTTTTTTTCCTAATTTTTTTTTACCATTTTGTAGAGAATCAAAAGTTACACAACATATAAAAAATTCAGTCTGGGCCCTAATGTTTTCGATAAATGGCAGCAGATATACCTCCAAAAGTCTAACGTCATACGCTGGTAATCTCTTACCTTTTTTCATTCATGTTAGCCCAGTAAAGGAATGATATACAATATTTCATATAGCTCATTTTTTCCATCTGTCCATACTCTATCATTTGCTATATAAGATGAAAAAATTCTCTCCTTCCTAGTAGTGTAATATTATCAGACATTAATGAGATGATTTACCATTGTTTTTCGTGATACTCTGTAGACAGTGCTAAAAGTTGATTCGGGCTAACTTCACTATAAAAAGTCCAAATGAGCTAAAAATTTAGGGTTATTAGTTTTAGACATTGTCCTTTCGAATGCACATAAAAAATCAAAAATTTAAATTTTGACGAGTGCTTCGTATACTGAGGTCATGCTCGATGATATCATGGAGGCTCTCTTAAGTATTCTATCTTGGTATTTTCAACTTTATTGTGTTATTCTTCAGTAGGGGTTCAGAGATAAAGCACTATTTTTAAAGAAATATGGATACTAAGAAAAATGTTTGAGCTACTGTTAGGTGCTACTGTTGGGCGGTTGTTTGAAGGCGTGGCCGCACCATCATGATCCACTGTACCATCCTAACCTCGTTTTTTCGATGTGGTACACACTGCTGATATGTATGCCCTCTATATATAACTTTTAGAAGGATCCCACGAATAAAACTGTTGTAATGCTCTATGCAATTATAACTATTGAGAAATAATTTCCATTCTTAGAGTGAATCTACTGGTGATACTGATACAAAACCATCTTATTTACGAAGTTATTCCAATCCATTGAAAACAGATATATCTACTGATGATGATGATCTAATTGATACAGTTCTTGAAGTTCCAACAAAATGTGTTGAACAAGCAAAAGAAGTTGGTAAACGTGTTGTTCAATATGTTGTTGATCATAGTCATCTTCCACATTGGTTACTTGATAATGAATATCTTATATCAGGACATCGTCCACCAATGCCAAGTTTTAAAGAATGTTTTGCATCTATTTTTCGTCTTCATACAGAAACAGTTAATATATGGACACATTTATTAGGAACACTATTTTTTATTATAGTTGCAATTTATTTTATTTCACGACCATCAAGTGAAATTCATATTGAACAAAAATTAACGTTTGGCGCATTTTTTCTTGGAGCTATTCTTTGTTTATTATTTTCAACATTATATCATACACTTTCTTGTCATTCACTAAAAGTTTCAAAACTTTTTAATAAGTAAGAAAAAAAGAAACATAGAAGTTTGACTTCTTATTTTCTATTATTAATGAATATAAACATAATTTTAGACTCGATTATTGTGGTATATCAATATTAATTATTGCATCATTCATTCCATGGCTTTATTATGGATTCTATTGTGAATTTGGAACGAAAGTAGCCTATTTATTAACAACTATTTTATTAGGTACTGGATGTATTATTGTTTCAATGTGGGATAAATTTGCTGCACCAGAATATCGTACATGTCGAGCACGTACGTCTTATATAGAAAAAAAAGAATATTCTTTTTTTTTATATCTGTAGTTCTTTTCATTGCATTTGGTCTTTTTGGTTTTATTCCAACTTGTCATTATGCCTTATTATTTGGTTTTAAACATGCGTTTACAAGTACGTAAAAAAAAACAATATTTAAAAACAAAAATTTCATTTAAGAATCATACAAATGAGTTTAGTAAGTTTAATATAAAGCTTATTATGAAATTTTCCAATATCAAATAAAATATAGAATGAGTTCAATTTTCTTATTTTATATTTAATGATTTAAATATTTTAGCGGGTGCTGCTCAATGGTTAGTGGTCATGGCTGTCTTATATATTTCTGGTGCTTCTCTTTATGCTGGTAAATTAATGATATTAATCTACAGTGCTGTGAAAAATTATAGAATCAATATCGTTTTATTGTTGTTGTTTTCGCATCAAGATGACTTTAGTTTTACTTGAATTGCACATGTACAGACAAAGAAATTTCTATTGAACATTTTCATATTCAGAGGTTTAAAATATCATTTATATTTCAATTTAAAATGAAATGTTATCGACGAAAGTGAAATAGCTTACAAACATCATCTAATGTTCACTATTTTAATAAGGATATTTGAAACTCGTAGGACTGATATTTCAACAACGAATACGAATAGCAGATACTCTATGCGACAAAAACAATAAGATCCAAAATTTGACACATCGCTTTGTTTGAAAGAGACATACGTTGTCCAGACTATTGACAGTATCTGTTTTGACACTGTATGTTCATCTGTAACAAAGTGATATGCCGAGTTTTCGAGCTTCTCGCTTTATCGTATCTGTTGTTGAAAAATCAGTCTTGTGAATGTTTTAAATATTCTCGCTAAAATACTGGACTTAGGCGATATTTTCAAGTTATTTTAGCTTGTTCAATAACATCTTATTTCAAATTTAAATATAAATGATTTTTCAAATTTTTGCTATAAAAATGTTCGGTAGCAATTTCTCTATCTTTCTATGTTACTTTCAAGCAAAACTAAAATCATCTTGATATAAAAACAACGAAACTACGAAATTGATGCAATAAATTTTTCGCAGACAAAATCTGACCGATTTCAATAAATCTTATGACTTAACTTCTTTCGAAAGTCTAAAGTGAAAAAGAACGAGGAAACAATTGAAATCGAACAGATGATTCTATAATTTTTCATAACACTTTACATGTATTGTATTTTCATTTTAAATAGCTCGTATACCTGAACGATTAGCTCCTGGTTACTTTGATATCTGGGTAAGAAATATTTTTCTTTCGCCTTTTTTGATTTTTTCAAAGTTTTTTTTAGTTTCAAAGTCATCAAATTTTTCACGTATTTGTTGTAGCTGCAGCATGTGTCCATTATTATGGATTATGTGTGCTTTCACTTCATCAATCAAGCATTGGTGATTGTCGTAAACGTATAATACCACCATTTAGTAGTGTTCTCAATTCAATGTTTGATTAAACAATGAAGAAAAAATCCGAAGAAATTTAAACAAAAAAGAATTTATCATTTATATTGGTCTGAGCATTTAGTTTTTCATTTGTATTCCCGCTTTGTTGTATTTTGTTTTCTAACTGTTTCTCATCAGTTTAACACTAATCCTTTTAATTGCACCAAAGCACTTCCTTTTTTACTGTGATAATTAATAAAAAAAACCGAAGTATAAAATAAAAAAGAAACAAGCTTAATACAAAAACGAAAAAATATCTTATTGCTCAATCGAATGGCATAATATATCAATATTTTCTTGAGAGGCGCTTTTATAGATACATTATAATCAGCTGGTTTTATACAATTAATGCTAATTTTAATGTTCTTTTTTTTTGTTAAAAGATATTGTACGAATTGTAAAAAAGACACTTCATGATGCGACGACAACATTTCCAAATTAATGACAATGTCAACCTACGGCATCTTTTTTTCTGCCATGCAGAGTTGAAGTGCTTCTATGAATAAAGTAACCTATAAGAAATAATCAAAAGAAACAGAACAAAAAAAGCTAATAAAAATTCCCAGTGAGGAAAAAAAACCACTGTTTCATTAAGCTATGTCTACTTCATTTCACTCAAGAATTTTCTTTTACTTCGAATACTTGCTCTCATGTCTGGATCTCAACCACCAAAAGGGCGAGGACGCGGCCGTACAGCCATACACTCAACCGAACCATCACTACCCTCAATCACTCCATCTATTGATGTATCAGCTGCTACAACACCAGCTACAATTGATACTTCATCATCATCCACCACTCCTGTAACCGATGTATCAGTGGCAACGACATCTACAACAACTGATGAGAGTACAGCTGACACTGGCATCTCATCGGCTTCAAGTATTTGTCAAACACCAACAGTTGCTTCATCAACTGGCAAAGGTATTCGAGGTCGTGGTAGACCTCCCAAACGAGATACTGTACCTGACGATCCTTATTGGACTGTCAACAACTTGACATATGCACAATTTCATTCAAATACTCGACCAACAAAACCTAATGAACTAGGAACACTTGGTCAACAAATACAAGTCATCGTCAACTATTTTCCTATACTTCAATTTCCACACAAAGGTCTCGTTTATAAATATCATATTCAAATACGAAATAGGAAAGATTTCGAAATTCCTCGAGAACGTCGACGGTAATTATACTTTTCATTGTCTTTCTTTTCATATTTCATACTATTATTCGAATTACAGTTTACTTTACACCTCATGGTTGAATCGATATTGTCGAAAATATTCACAAGTTGATCAACATAAAATTGTTTATGATAATCAATCAACAATCCTCGTATTTGATGAACCATTACCTAATATTAATGAAAATGTAAGTAATAATGTCTATTCTCTTCAATTGCTACATCGAAACAATGTTGTAGAGCGCTGCTGAGATCATAGAAGGACCCAATCGTTCAAATCGACAAGAACCTCACAAAGTGATTGTTCGAAAAGCTGGAAATCCAGTTGATTTAGCTTTGATACAGAATACAAATCAATTTTTTGATACAGACAATTTATCAAACTATACACCGGAAGATCTTCAGAATATCAAACAAATTCTTTCGATTGCATTACATGAACATTGTTCATCGCATGCTACTTTCATTTACAATCGATGTTTTTTTTCCTTAACAAAAGATGGACATTATGGAGAATGGGATCTTGGTTTAGGAAAAGCATTATGGCGTGGTTTTTATTCATGTCTTGTCTTTGCTAAAGGAACACATCAACTTCTCATGAATCTTGATAGTGAGTTTCAATACATGAAACGTTATGTTCATTTAGAAATATATTTTTCTTTTTTTCCGATTATCCTAGTCAAACATACAGTGTATATGAAAAAACAATCATTTCTTGAATTTGTTTGTGAAGTTATGTTGCATAGTCCATGTGGTAAGCGAAAATATGGTCGTCAAAGAGATGTTCAGACGGCAAATGGTGATGATGTGCTGAGATTTCTTGACATTAATACTAATCCGACTTACAACCACGAAGCAGATTTTCTACGCAAACATTGTAAACGTAGGTATTTGGTTGCTTTCACAGGAAATAAACTCTTTTGTAAAATTAGATCTTCGTGTTCGATCTCAAAATGCAGATAAACCCATAGTTTACGAGATTGCTCAATTAGGACAATCAGCATCAACACAAACGTTTCAATGGAAAACGAATAATAATAAAACTGTCACAGTTGAACAATATTATAAAGAGCAATATAACTTGAATTTGAAGTAAGTCTATGAAATTCAATGTTTCTTAGTATAATTTGATTTTTTTTTTGGTGAATCTATAGATATCCATCTTTACCTGTATTACAGATGCGTAATGGATCGTATATACCAATGGAATTGGTAGATGTTGAACCTGTTAGAGTGAAAAAAATTACTGATGACCAAAGAGCTCTTCTTTGTAGAAAAGCAACAATGACACCTAGAGAATATCGTCAATCTATCAAGAATATTCGTGAGAATCCACATCAACAACATTTTGAGGAAGATCCATTTGTTGCTGCTTGGAATTTGAATATTCATAGAGATATGTTGATATTACCAGCACGAGTATTGCCAATGCCTGAGATAGTTTATACTGATCAATATCGAGTTACTGCTGAAGCAGTTCGTGATCTAGGAACATGGGAAATGAGGCCAACAAAATTTCACAAACCTGCAACATTTCCACGCATATGGGGCATCATTAATTTATCATCACCAAGTCAACAGGAATGCGAAGACTTCTATAATGAACTTCGTATTGTAGCACAACAGCGAGGTATTGACTGTCATCCACCTGAAATTTATAAAGAATATAATTCTGAACATGGGACAATTGATCAGAGCGTTGAATTATTGAAACAAACAATGAGTCAAAATAATGATTGCAAGTTTTGTATTGTTATTTTACCACTCAAAACCACCCGAGAGAGCAAACAAGCTTACAGAAATTTTAAAAAAATGGTAAACTGATTAGGAAAAAATAGAATTAGAAAGACATTTGTTCTATTTAGTGTGAATTAGAGCTTGGCTTTGGAGTTGTTACTCAAATGATTCAACGTACGAATGCTGTCATCGGCACACGAAAAGATCGAACGAAATGGGATTATGCGAAATTGAACAATATTTTACTTAAAATAAATACCAAGCTAAATGGAACAAATTCTGTTCTCAAAGTGCAGTAAGTCTTTATATTTTAATTCATAAGACAGCGTTATACAGTTGCTAATTATTATGAAGCAACTTTGAGTAATTCTCAACAGTGATTTTAATAGGATACTTAAGTGCTCTATGAAAATAAAGGTAGGCATAATGAGAAGAAATTTTGTTTGAAGTTCTTCTATGCTATCTTTAGTACAAAGAGAGAGACAATGATTTTCAGACACGACAGTTGAAAGTATATCTGAAAGTGGCAAGGTATCCTGGTATATAAGCATTTAAAATGCTTTGTATTTTCTGCCGATAAATCGTCTAATCATCATTTTATCACTTGTCTAACAAGTCTAAACTGAATAGAAAGTGGAAATCGAATCCTACTAAAAACATAACATAGGCACTCACCCACATATTTTAGATGTGACACAAAAAAAAATAACTTGTTTTTGTTTTAATTGATTTTCTATAATCTAAAAGCACAGATCACAAAGATATTACATAGAAGAAAATTATTAAATACGTTTTAGATTCTATGATCAAACTAAAACTTTAATCAAAATGAAGGTTTTCATTTGCTGTGATTGATGCTTTAGTTGAATTCCTTTACAGACTACTGAGAATCAGTATAGGATACAAGATTATTCTTATCTCTATGATCCGTATTGAAATTTAATTGATTGTATTATTTGTTCTTTAGTGATATTATCAATCGTTTTTTCTCACAAGGTCACCGTGTCATGTATGTGGGTGCTGATTTGAGTCATCTTGCTCCAAGTAGTGGTACTCAACCATCAGTTGTAGCTGTTGTTGCATCAGCGGATGACGTGCCTAATCGATATTTTAAAGAAGTTTATCAACAACTACGACCAGCACAAGCACGAGGTGAAAGTCGCGAATATATTGTTAGTATGAAAGATATTATGAAATCTTTGATCCAACAATATGTTGAACATCGAGGTTATCCACCCAATGCAATTGTTATTTATCGAGATGGGATTTCTGAAGGTGAATTCGATTCTGTCTTTGAAAAAGAACTAATAGCAATACGTGAAGCTTGTGTTGATTTATCACCAGTTTATCGACCCTATCTTACATATATTGTTGTTAATAAAAAACATCATACAAGATTATTTCCAACAACTTCAGAGAAAAATGTTCCAGCTGGTACTGTTCTTGATTCACATGACATCACTAAAGCTACTACTTATGATTTCTATTTAAACAGTCATCATGGAGCATTAGTAAAAAGATTATTTTGAAAATTATCATTGATGTATTTCAATTTATATTGATATTTTAGGGAACAAGTCGTCCAACTCATTATCACGTTTTATATGATGATAATAAACTACAACCCGATGAAGTTCAAATGTTAACTTATGCACTTTGCTATACATATGCTCGATGTACTCGTTCAGTATCAATTCCAGCACCAGTAAAATATGCTGATTTATTAGCTTTTCGTGCTGCTTATTATATAAATGACAATGATGAATCGGACATGTAAGTGTAGTTTTTTCTTCGATCTTGTATTTGTGTATCTTGTTTTCTTTTAGAGAATCAGTTGCATCAGAACCAAAGATTTTGATTAATCAAGATACGGAGATAAAAAATACAATAAGAAGTGAACGAATTGTTCTAAGTTCAATAATCGCAAGAGACTGTCCGTTCTTTTTATAAATATAATTTATATTTTTTTATTATCATTAAATCTCATCTATGTCTATTTTTTGGAAATAAATGTATGATGAAGTTTATTGGCTTGTCAGGTTATAGGTAATTTAATGCTAGAAATCATTGATAAGTCTTTGTTCAAAGTCAATGATTTTCTTACTGGAATTCACGATAGAAGTATCCCAAGTGTTTCTACGCTTTTGAGCTAAAGTTTTGTTGCTTAGTCAGTTTTGATGATATTAGCTAGAGAACATTTTCAACTGATCAATCGTTGTTGAAAGCGGAATCTGTGCATTATTTAGAGTCCAGTAGGATAAGAAAACTCTCCAAATGATAAATCTAGTTACGCTTTTCATGCAAAGTTATAGGCATTTTATTAAAATGTTAGCACCTGGCGCCGTGTATAGTAAAGGAAAAAGAAGGAGAGTATTTTGACCTGAAATTTCACGTATCTTCAGTAGTATACCGTGAAAATTTCAGTTCGAAAGAATGTTTTTTCCCCGAAATATTCAAGTTCCTATAGTCAAAAGTTAAAACGAGTTTTATGAATATTTGACGTCGGATAAGATAGTGATAGTAATGTAAAATGAATCTATTTTGAGCTGAAATGCTGCTCAGAAACAGGTCTTATGATTTCTATGATAGAACAAAAATTTCATCTAAAGGGTGTGTTTCTTTTGTCAAGACACTGAATTTACAAGATAAGTTCATTTTTTGTGATCTATCTTTTTTTGATGACTTTTTGAAAATTCAAAATCTTGAGAAGGGTGCATTTGTTTTAGATAAAAAAAACCTTCTGTATGTTGCTAGAAATCACGAGGTCTGGTTATGAACAAAATTTTAGATCGAAATGATTTCATTTCGTGTTGTGCTTGATATCTTACTCTTGGTGGAAAATTCACTAAAATGGTTCTAGCTTTTGATCAACAGACAATAGATATCGATGGTCTTGGTACTGACTTAGTTCTACTAAATTCTACTTATGAGAATAACATCAGCATGAAATACAGAACGCAGGTTATAGACCTATTTCGTTTGCTTGAATACTCGCTGTTAAAATTTACCATATAGTAAACTAAATTTTTTGCATTGGTTTGTAATTAAAAAAATATTTAAGAGTGAAAGCATTGTTCATTGTATGAAAAAAACTTGTTCAATTATAAATTTAATGAAATGTACAATACAAGAAGTAATAACTATTTATGGCAACCTACGGCCTCTTTCGTATAAATATAAAAACAATTCTCTTCGATAAAAAGAATATCCTATGAGTATTGAAGAAAAGAAAAGAACAACTCATGTTTTCAAATGGCACTGTACTCTATTGTACTGTTTAAAACTTTAGAAGGAGTGACAAGGCCAAGGTCATTATTAAGATTTATTTTAATGATTCCGATTACTAACCAGTTCGGTTCACGATCCTTTTACACTTTAGGGATCTCAGGCATCTGATTGGTCACAACACAAACACGAAAGTGTAGGTAAGAGTGAGAAAGTGGATTATTTGGGGTCCTAAAGTGTAAAAGCTCCCATTCACAATATATTTGGATTTCAAAAGCAAACATTTACTCATTTATTCCTATTATCTACATCTAAAAATAAAAATTATCAACTTTAATCACATATTTCGTATTATATGAATTTTAGATTAAAATTATTTCATTGTTAACTATTATTTACATTCTAATATCTTCTAAAGTTGTTAATTAAAACAATTTCATCGACAATATTTATATTGGTTGATTTGAAATCTTATTTTCAGCATATGACACAACTGTTCTTCATTGTATTGTATGAATATTGAATACATTTACAATGAATCAGTTTTTATACAATTGTAACCAATGACAAGATATGGAAATGAGATTTGAGCTTTAGTGAATAATTTCGAACTGTTTGTTATTCATCGCTTATGTTGGTTTCACGAATATACAACAATGCATTAAAAAAAACCTATTCATCTTATGTTTTTCAAAATGATTTACATCAAATTTATAAAATTATATTATCCTGTGTTCATGACGAAGGAAAATGTTATCATCAGTAAGGTGTTCTAGAAAACCAAAGGAGAAGAGGTCTACATTTTCTCAATCGAGACAATTACAAAATTTACTAGGCTGAAACCAATTTCTGCTCAACTATTGTAAATGCAAGTGTCTATATAATTTCTTCAAAGGCAAAGAAGATTGTATTTAAACAGAAATTAAAAAAGAATCATCAATAGTGACTAGTTTATCCAAAACAATCAAATTAATGGAAATTGTACATTTTCTCACGTTTTTCTCGAACCAACTTTTTCATAGAGAAAAAAATGCAGAAACACTGAACGGTACTCCAGTCAGGCACATCCTATCAAGCTGTAGCTTTTTGCACATATATTATACACTATTTGAGATGGGTATAAAAATATTGTTCTACTAATTTTTGGTAATTCTAAAAAAAGAAGTTTTAAGACGCACGTTTTTATGATACCTTCGATATTTTGACTTTTTTATTTGAACAACCAAAAAATAAAAAGATACTCACCCTAAACAGTGTCTAATATTTGAAAAAAAAATTCAGCTCAAACGTACATAGAATCTCGGAGCAACGAGGACAAAAATTAGGGTTATTATAACCCCAGTATTTCATAAAAGACGGCATCCGGAACGAAAACTTTTGCTCTACTTCTCATGATCTAGCTGCTCGAGAAATTTCAAATTTTTCTGATAAACCATTTTCTGAAAAATTCAGAGAGAGAGAGAGGTGTACCCTGACAACATTGATACGTACAAAAATTCACCTAGGTAACTAGTTAATACTATATTATGCATTCTTCTTACTATATCATTCTATTTTCTGATCGGCACATCATATACCTACTACGAGATTTTTCTTCTATTTATGATTTTCATATTTTATACTTATTATCTTTCGAAATACAGATATAATATTAACGTGCGTTTCGAACGAGGATATAGTCTGCATTTTCCATGTAGCAGGCGAACATGTGACTTTCTTGTTCAAAAATCATTGACAATGACACAAAAAAGCATTTTTCAGAGGAAAAGTTTTTCGATGAAAAATGCCCGAAAGAAACTCTTGCCTTCATTTTTCCGAAAAAAATTTTTTCTTCAAATTTGTTGTGTTCAATATTATTCAAGGTAATTTAATGTACTGACTCCGAATATACTGATTTTGTCGATTAAGTCTTTGTCTAAAGCGAGGAAAATTTTGTTTTCTTTTCGAAACCGGTTATGCTGTCCAAGAGTGTTTGCGATAAAATGTATGAGAAATAATAGATAGAAGAAAAACAAATATTATTTGTTTTCCTCAGAAGTTAATCACAAATTAAAAAATATTTTTCACCATAGGACAGAGGTCAGCTTGAAAATTCAAAAAATATAGTTGGTTTGTTTGTCAAATAGTTTAGTTTTGTTATATATCAATTTTCTCGGTGACAATACAGTTTTTGAACTAGTTGTTCGGTAGCTGTTGTTTCAGTTTCTTTGCTGATTGTAATAAAGTTATTTATACTATTGGATAGATTATATTTCGCAGTATATACCTCCATATTTCAATGTTGCAAAAAAAAAGTTGCTTTTCAGTTTTAGCTAAACAATCACCTACACGCATACTGGGAGGGGGGGGGGGGCGGGGTACTCACAATTTTGCGAAAATTTGCACTTCACGCAGCGAAGTTCCAACATTTTATTTATTTTTTTTGCTAATCAAATCTAAAAAAGGATAGCTCTCGACAAATTCTATCAACCTCCGTAAATTTGAACCTTCTCATAGACAATAGTACCACTGATTATTTATATTTACTTTACTTCTTCACTCATAATCAATATTCATATGATATAAAATATTAAATAAATTATTCTAGATACATATTCATGACCAAAATAATCTCAAAATTCGAACATCTTCCTAATGAACTTTTACTCGATATATTGGCATATTGTCGTCCACGAGATTTATTTATATCATTATTTAATCTTAATCAACGTTTAAATACACTAATATATAGTCAATCAATAAATATTGATTTAGGTAATGCACTACCAAAATATTTACTTGATGTTTATTATAAATCCGTTTTATATAATGCACGTGAACAAATATATTGTTTACGATTATCAGACACATATGGACGTTTAAATCGTTTTGTTATAAATATTAAACAATTAGATATCGATTTTGAAATAAGAAAAAATATACTTAATCGAGTTAAATATTTAATTTTATGGGATCCAATTATGACAAGTCTTCATGAAATATTAAATTATGTAAATAATCTTGAATATTTTCATGTTACATCAATAGGAACAGCACGACAAACACCAAATTTTTCTGATAGATTACTTAAAAGATTATTTGAAATGAAAACACTTAAACGACTTTATTTAGCATTACATGACTCTATTATATTCAATACTGATATAGGTAAATATGATTTTATTTAATAAGCAAATATTGTTTTTTTTTTTTCATATTTTAATTTATTAGATATAAATACATCAATTGTTCAATTAACATTAAATGGATGTTATATGCAACATTTAGCACCGTTACTTCGTCGATTACCTAATATTCAAAAACTTAATATTATGTGTTACAATCGACCAAATCTTTTTTCCGTAAATGCAGAAAATTTCGATTATAGTCTATATGATGGACTTGCTGATTGTGTACCATATTTAACACATTTGATATTGCATGTTACTCATACTCCATTTTTCGAAATAAAGACTCTTCTTCAGCAATTATCTAAACTTATTAAATTTTCATTTTCATCACTTCTGATCGATGATTATTCGAATGGTTTGAATTGGGAAAATCTTATTACAAATTATTTACCAAATTTACAAAAATTTAGTTTATTTCTGAATGAAGCGCAAATTCCAACACGTACTCAAGTTGATCTTCTTAAAATGATACAATCATTTTCCAGTCCTTTTTGGCATCGATGGCCAGTTGTTATTGAATATTATATTGATTCAATATCAAAAAAACATCTCATATTATATACACTACCCAGTCAAAAGGATAGTATACGAACATATTTGTATGGAGTACAAACACAAACAACAAAAGGAATATTTAATGATGATTATTTAAAGTAAGAAAACGAATAAAGAAAATCGTCAGATTTAATGGCTTATCCTGCATTAGGATACCATGTATTTAGCTTTTTAGAGCAATTTGCAGTGTATCGAATGATATATAGGCAATTAAGTTTTTTCATAATTTTTATGTGCTAAGGGTTGATATGCTAGTTATAATGCTTGAAGCATATTATAGGGTATTCATAGAAATTGATGCAGCCAATAAGAAATTTATTTTAAAACATAATTCGATACAGTTATAGATGTTCTTCAATTTTCTATAAGCAGTAATTTTCATTGTTGCTTTCTTCGTACTTCAAAATTGTTCGTTTTTTTTAGGCCTAGGTTACTTCTTTACTATACGAAATTCCAGTGTGTTCAACTCTGAGCCACATAGCAAGTATATATAATGTGAAACTTTCGCAAAAACTTACATTCTATCGAGCTCTATGTATTTCATAGATAAGATTTTTTGAAACAGTAATGAATTATTGTCAATTTACAAGACTGTCTCGTAGATTAGCCTATTTTCCTATATGAAAGAATCAGAACATGGACGATATGTTAACAATATTCAAGGGTACTATTAAAAATGTTTATGCTTCAATAATCAGCACAGCGTCTGTGATGAAATGATACAAACAACTCCTTTGTAAATAGAAAAAAATTGTTGATCTCAGAGACTCCCTCGTCCCAAGAGGAGTACGGATGTAGTGTTGCAGAAAGAAGTCTGTTATTTTAATTATTTCTTTTTCAAACTTTTATTCCAAGAATTTCGACTTGATTTTTACATGAAACTCAACAAGAGTTCATAAACATCTCATATTAATTTCAAAATTAAGTTTTTCCCATGTATCCGTACCTTCTTCTTTAGTCTCGAGACGAAAAGTTGTTTTTTTTTTCATTTATAAAGGAGTTATTTATATCAGTTTAATCGAGATGCTGTGCTGATTATTAATGCATAAAAAATTTTATCAGAACCATTGATTATTGTTAAAATATAGTCAATATACCAGTTTCATGAGATAGGAAAATAAACTATTCTAAGAAACACTCTTACTAGTTGACAACCAGTCTCTGCTATTTCAAAAGATCTTATTTGTAACACATATAGAATTCGGTACTGCGAAAGGTTTTGAGAAAGTTTTGGCGTTGGTACTCACTTATTCTGTGGCATGTATAAATAAGAAAAAGAGATTATTTTTAAGGGTGAAGACGGCAAAGATTGAAACTATTGATCATAGAAAATTGAACAGCACTTATAAGTATATCGAACTGAGTTTAAAAAAGTTTTCACAACTTTATTATGGAACATCTTAGGAACATCAATGTCTATGAATACCCTAAAATATCCTTCAAGCAGTATAACCAATATATTGACTTTCAGAACAGGAAAGTTTTCATAAAACTTGAATTCTTATAAGCAATTCGATGTGCCGTGATTCTCTCTACAAAAACCATATATATTCAGCAATTTGCTTTAGGGCAATCCACTAAATCCGGTGAAGCTCTTTTGTACATAATTACTTTCTTTTTGTTTTAGCTGTAATAAAGTAGTAAAAAACTTAGATTATAAAAAGGTATATGAACTTCATTTTACTCTTCATTCAAACCCACCATCAAATATTCTGTTACCGGATCGTATTTATACAAATCTCAAATCACTTTCATTTTCATCAGAATTAACCGATCCAGGATCGTATGATGCAGATATTGTTTTAAATGATCTTACAAAAATATTTTCAACATCCGCACTTGCAAATATCAAACGCATTTATTTATACCATCGAATTTATCCAATAAATTTTCGTATATATATAAATAGAAAATTTTTCATAAAGCTCCATTCATAATTGTCTCTTTTTTTTGTTTCTAGTTTCAAAATTATTAAACCTATTACCAAATGTACAAAGCCTTCGAATAGATGCATCCTTATTTAATATTTCAACAGTATTTACTCGTATTACAAGTTTAACAATCGATTTTAATTCGAATGTTATGTGTAAAACAACAGATATTCTTCGTCAAATGGGTACTTTTCTACCTAATATACGCTATCTTTATTTTGAATTAAAAGATGCCCAAGACATCTACATTTTTCTTATATATTGTCTTCGAAAACTTGAACATCTATTAGATATTCATGTAACACTTCACGAACCAGATGTGCGTATTGATCAACAAGCCTTTGTATCATGGTTTAATGATTATAAATTGTTAAATGGGTTAAACAACAAAGTCCAAGTTGAATTTGGAGGAGGAGATAACCGTTTTCATATTTCATTGTGATATATTGTAAAAAAAATATAAAATAAGAATAAAATTTCGTTTTTGTATTTAATAAAAAAGTTAATTCTATTCGAATTTTTGTTATATAAAAAGAACTTAGCATTCATTATTCAATCTATTTAATGAAGTTCAAACAAATTTTGTTCTTGTTCAAAAAGCACAACAGTACGTATCCATTTGAAAATAGAAAGGAATTGAATCAATTAATAAATGAAAGTACGAAAAGAACTATATAACAGCTTCAGAATTCATTGAATTATATATAAGATATCATGATTTAGTACGTAATTAAAGTTTTTTGAAAAATATTCTTTCCATAATCACTTACGTACGTATATTATAAAAAGATTGTCAAAAATAGGTTTAATTATGTCGTCAATATCATTAGCACAATTCATGTGAAAAAATACTTCTCAGCATTTAATAATATGCAATATTTTATTTCTTCGTTTTTTTTGATTGATTAAAAATCTTTACAATATTTTTGTCTTATTGAAAACTATTTTAGCGTAATCAATTGGTAAAATTGTTTTTACTAATTACTGTATTGTTACTTTGTATTATAAATTAAGTTTTTAAGATGCTGGAAATATAAAGTTAAAGTAGACTTTGTTTTTCTTGTTTTTTTACATATGACTAGATACAGCATGATAAGCTGATCAAGTATATATGTGTTTTCATTTTTTTTCCTACAGTAAGTTTTTTTTTTTTTGAAGGGAATTTTTCCGTTATGCCAATGACCCACTTTCTTCAAAAACAAAGAGATCACTTTTCGATAAACGACAAATTGTCAGTTTTTGTTTTCGTGCGAATTTCAAAATTGTTTGTTTTAAGTCAAGCATGAAACACTGAATCTATGAAAATTATCTATACAATGATTTTCCTAGGTTCAGTTTTTTACGTTGCATCTGAAATCAAACACTTTTAAAATTTTAAAGAAATAAAAATATCGACAATTTGTGAGCTACCAAAGAATTGACTTATTTTTCAGAAAAAAACGCAATTTTTTTCCTTAAAAAACTCATTTCAAAAAAACAAGTGAAAACAGATATGTTCTTGATCAGGTCATAACGCTATATCTAGCCATGTGTAAAAAACAAGAAAAAAAATAGTCTGATGTAGTTTTGTATTTCTGGTACCTTACATACAATCCAACACAGACATCCGTCTTTTAGTGTAAATTAAAAATAATAATTATACAATCATTTGTAATAATTCATTTTTTAAGAATCTGCTATTTTTTCCTAGGATTGATCAATATTTATTGGCTCACATTGTCAAAATTATCTTAGACAAATAACTATATTCATCATCCTATTTTTCTTGCTATCTTCATTTACATTTTACACACTATTCCAAGTTTGATATTTTTTGTACACAACTAGTTATGAAGTATACACAGTGGATTATAAATAATACTATGATAAAAAACTAACATATCTTCACTTCGGTTTGTTCAAATGCAATGAATCTTTGATTAATGATAGAAGTTTGTCTAACGCTTTGTTTTCATACAAATAAAGTAAAGAAATACTACTGCTACGTAATACTTTTGACCTCATCACAAAAAAAATTTTTACCTATTGTGCTCCAGTAAGAAACATATATATCAAGCGTTTCATAGATAATTTTCAGTTGTTATCTAAGAAAATAAGAAGAAGAAACCAAAATGAACTTTATGAACGATATTATATTGATGCACATAGAGCAATTTCTTTCAAAACTATTTAGTTTACATGCTGAAATTCATGCCCCATCAGTAAAACACACAGCCACAGTTATTTGAATACTACAACATCAGTTTCTTCTCAAAAACCAACGTTATACTTTTGAAAATTCGAAATTTTGTAACCGTAGACGTTTAAAGCAATTAGTTCTGTAAATTTGATCTATGCTCATCAATATAATATCATTCATAAACATTCAAATCTTCGTATATATATTGCTGACTTGGTAACAGATAACATCACTTTCATGATATTAACAATAGTACCTGATAATAGTATTTGCTCACCTTATCCGCATGAAAAAAATGATTTGAATAAGCTTCTATCACGAATCAAAAACTAAGGCTATCTGATTGAAACAAAGCGGAAATATTTCATTCTTTTTTATCATAATATTATGTAGGCTCATCTTGTATAATAGTTTTAGGAAAAAGTGGCTTGAAATAAGACTCTGTGATTTAGTATATACTTAAAGCTATCTATAATATTCTTTACAAAATTATTTCGACATATAAATTGTAAAAAGATTATCAAAAGTAGGTTATACTACGTCTTCGTTATGATTAGCGCAATTTCTGTGAAAACATGTTTCAATGATTTACAATACCCCATAATTTACTTCTTCTTGTTTTTTGGATTCATTAGGAGTCTTCACAATATTTTTTTACTTGTTTAGTGAAAGTCATTTCAATGTGATAAATCCGCTTTCTATTGAAAAATGACATCGATTAGTAGTATTATTTTACTAATTATTGTATTGTCACTTTGTATTGTTAATCAAGCTTTTACATAAAATCCCACACAGATACTCGTCTGCTAAGGCATAAAATGAAAAACGACAATTATACAATCATTTGTATTTTACACACTTCCAAGTTTTATGTCTACTGCTCTTCAATTCACCACTGATCAGAAGTCATTCATAAAAGACACCAACTAGAGCCCATCAAATCCAAATGTTCGGATCCGGACTGTGTCGAAACGTACTTCGACACTCACAATCAAATTTTCTAATCAAAATTGAATAATCATCCTGAAGATACGAATTGCTTTCTTTCCGGTTTCTTTCGTAACAGTTCAGTAAATAGATATATCAAAAATAGAAATGAAAACATGTGTTGTATAAATAGTAACAGCAAAAAATATAATCTATTCAAAAGTTTTGTTCTTTTTTTTTGAATACATTCGATTTTAATTAGCAGAAAATCGTAAGAAAATGAAGTGCCATACCAATGATATTCGAAAATTCTATGTAACTGCTTCACTAAATAACTAATTGCTTATGTACCATAATATCGAATTATTTCATCATCGCATTCATATTTAGCTGATTTCCTATTTTAAAATGTTCTTTAAAACTAACTAATCTTGAAAACTTTGCTGAAAGTTCAGAAACGTCTGAAACCCATCCAGTCAGTTCAGTTTTAACGGACTCCCTCTTCGTTCTTTACCTCGATGTTCTTTATGGAGTATATGATATACTATATGAACAATGCTATTTATGTTTTCTTATTGAAATTTCGGTGACATGATAAGACATCAAGTGTGAGTAACTGGGTAGATATTAGTTGGACAACTAACTGCTATGATGCTAACACAAGTAACATTTTCAGTTGTTTGATCCAAATGATTCTGCTCGAATAGCAGTTGAATAATTAATATCAACTATTACTTTATCTTAATTTTATACCAGATTTGTAGTAAGTTATATTATTGTATTGAATCTTTTTTTTGTTGCTGTTGCCCTAGAGCGATTTCTATGTATTTGTTAATAAGAATTATTTTCAATCTCGAAGAAGACGGGCTTAATGCCTTGTAATAATGTTTTTCGAATGTTGCAGATTCAAAACTTGAAAAAATGATAATATTACACAGGTATCTTTTTTCTATGCAGGATACAGTCGATAGCTACATGTATTGTGTTATTTACTTCTCATTTTTTTGTCTTCATGAAAACGAGAATACAATCGCAAAACTTCTACAATGATGCATACAAAAATAAAATTCAAATAAATGTTAATAGTTCATAAGTGCTTTTCTTCTGTTAGTGTCCACGTGACCCGGTTTTGATTGTTCATCGAAATAGCAGCAGTAAAGTTTGCATACTATGCTTAACTTACAGCTAGTATGTGTAGTCTTAATTTGTATATACATTACTAACCAGAAGTTTCCTCTCTCTCTCTGATCTTAGTTCGTATGAGAGTTGAATGTCTAAAAATTGCTCTGCAAGGAGTCCACTGAGAGTGTACATTAGAGGTCATATTAATACCAAAAACACTCAAGCTAGAATGGAGTTAACAGATTTGGCGTTCACGATCATTGTTAATTTCGTAACTCGAGAAAAGATAAAATTTTTGAGTTGTCCATTTCCTTATTTTGTAGCAGTGCGTTATAGCTATATCTAATGCAAATGTTATTGAAATTGATCAAGCTATTAATTAACTAAACCACTCTTACCGAGAACATGGATACAGAAAAAAAGTCATAGAATTCGATTGAACGACCAATAACTCAGCGATAGTTTGATGAATCAATCGGAAATTTTCAGTCTTTCTACCAAATGAAGCAATGATCATCATTTATCAAAATTTATCTCAGAAAATCGTTCTAGATTGTTTTAGAGTTTTATAGAACAAAAGAACCCATCTTGTTCTAGACATCTATGAAGTTCTTTGTGGCAATTTTATAGCAAATAATGGTATATAAGGATATGGCTTTGATTATGTTCTAGAAAAATTATGTTTTTTTAGGCTGTATAAGATAGTTACTACAGATGACTACACTTTATATTATCTAGTGCAGTTTTTAACATAATGATCAGCAACTTCAGTCGTCATATTGTGTGATTCAACGACGATAGCTAAGTTTTTTTTTCTATTAACTTCGAACTGCCCGAAACAGTTTTTCTAATGAAATTTTGACTAGCAAAAAATGTTGCTCTCTTTTGCAGAAAAGTAGCAAAACCATAGGCTTACAGCTTTACAGCTTTTTTTTTAGGGCACAATATGAGTAATTGTTGATCGTTCAGTGTGAAATCATAGCTCAACTCATAATCCTTTATTCCTCAAAAGATGACTTCATTTACTTGTATAATGGAGACTCGCAGCCTTGACAAGTTCGTAATAGTAATCGATGGTCTTTCTTCCGTTTAGTAAAGCGCTTACTTTTGAAACTTTCAAGAAAGCATGGCCAACTATCAGGGAATACCTTCTGAAAATTTTAAATTAATCCATCAAACTATTGCTGAGTCATTAACCGTTCGCAATGGTAATC